CCCGCACACCGAGGGGGCGGGCACCGCGAAGCCACGTCCGGCCGGGGCGCACAGGACCGGGGGCCGGGCCGGGCCCGGCACGTGGCGGCGGAGAGAACGCGGACACGTTGGCCATGGTGACGGGCGGACGGCCGATGAGGACAAAAGCCGGCCGTGAACCGATGCTTTGTTATGAGGCGCACTTCCCAAAGGATGGAGCTGTGGGCGCGCGTGTTTATTATAAAATATATATATATATATATATATATATATATATATATATGTATATGAAAAGGAAAAAAACACCAGACACGGCTGCTCAGGGACCTGGACTCACCGCGCAGCCCTGCCCCCGGGAGCGCCTTCCCAGGGAAGACGGTCCGGTGCTGAGGGGGTCGTTCCGTGCGCCCTGGCTGGGGCTGCTCAGCGGTTATGGTGTGGGGTGACCCACACCCCAAAGGGTCTGGGCACCCACCTGGCACAGGCTCCATCCTGGGCCTTGGCCAGGGCAGGTAGAGGAGGCAGCCAACTCATGTGTCTCTCTCACATCGATGTTTCCCTCTCTCTCTCTCTCTCTCTCTCTCTCTCTCTCTCTCTCTCTCTCTCCCCCCCCCCCGCCCCGCCCCCACCTCCCTCCCTGCCTTCCACTCTCTCAAAACCCATCCACTGTGAGGAGCAACAAAAACGAAACGCAGGGCAGAGAGAAGGCGAAGGACTGGCCTCAGCGGCCGGGCGCCCAGGTCTCTCCAGGTCCGCTCCACCTCCCGCTGCGGGGAGCTCGGCTCCTCCCTGGTGCCGGGAAGCGCCTCCTCGGCGCATCCCCAGGAGAGCCTGCCCGCGGCCTCAGCGCCGGGCACACGGCCCCGCCGCACGGCCGTCCGGCAGAACCTCCTCCCACAGGGACGCCGGTCCTCCTGGCGCCGTCTGGCACTGATGAGGGGCAGACGGACTGTAGGACTGTCCTCCTCCAAACAGCTCGCTGCTGCCCGGGGAGGGCCGGGGCCCGGGCCACACACAGGCCGAAGCCGGCGCCACACACAGGGCCGAAGCTGTCGGGGCCACACACACACATATACACATGTGTGTGTGTGGACAGAGCCCCGGCCTGTGGGCTGAAGGGTCCCGGGTTCTCGTCCGTCCTACGGGGCCCGGGCCACACACAGGACAGTCCTACGGGGCCCGGGCCACACACAGGCCGAAGCTGTCGCTCAGGTGCTCCCGCGGCACAGGCGCCCACGGACAGCGCACCCCGCCCCAGCCGGCGCGGAGGGTGGCTTACCAGAGGGGGTCCGCAATGGCAGCCTCGTCGAACAGGGACACCGCCAGGCTCAGGGTCCCGACCACCACGGAGTGGCAGGTGGAGGCCACTCTGGAAGAGAGGAGAGGGCCCGTGAGAGCCGCCACGGGGCACCGGCGCCAGCCGGCAGCAGGGGGCGCTGGAGGAGAGGGTCGGGGTGTGAGCCGGGCCCAGCCGCGCCCGACTTCAGATTCACTGGGCCCCCCCCCCCCTTGGAGTCGCCTGCCGGGGAGGCCCCGAGGCGGGGCGGAGCGGGGAGCCTGCCGGCCCTGCGTGTCCCGGGATTCCGCCTCCTTCCTGCTCTGGGAGTTGGAATGACTCCACGTCTACCAGGGACCCACGCGGAATCCTGAACAGAATCCGCACGCCCCGGAGGCACATGGGAGCTCGGTCACCAGCACGAGAGGCTTCTGAACAGAAAAACCGGCCGGGACCGACACAGAAACCTGTCCGAGGGCGAGCGCACAGAGCCGGCCTCCTTCGGTGGAAGCTCGGTGTCTGTGACAGAGCTCGGTGTCGCGCTGAGAATGGGGCGGCTCGGCCAACTGCCCTGCCCGGGGTACGGAGCGAGAAATAAAGACTGTTCTCCCTTAGGACGGGGGTGAGAGAGACGGAAAGCACAGTCTTCTCTCGAGACATGAACAGCGATGACTTCCTCTCTGCACGGCGCCCCCCTTCAACGGGGAGCGGCGCACGTCAACCAACATGAATGCTGGCGCAGAGACCACTGCGACCTGAGGGACCGCTATGGACGGCTCGGGCAGCGGGCCCTGCCGAGGTCCCCGAGGCCAGCGCGTCCGGGCTCCGGGGCCTCGCCCGCTGCGGACAGCGACGGGGAGACACGGCGGCCCCGCCGGCCGGCAGCTCGGTGGCCTGGCGTGTGTGCGCCGTGTTCCCCGAGGACACAGCCGACCCAGCGGTTAGGATCCTCGTGTGCGAGAAGCCCTCCGGCTAAACAGCCATCGTACAACCAAAACCTATTAAAATAAAACCCGTCAGTGGCGGTGCAGCCAGCTTTCCTGTGAAAAGACGAGCCCCCCACAAACACCAGAACAGTGTCTTCCCGGCAAAGGGTAACGTTTGTCCCCGAGGCCAGGCCTCGTCCGTGTCCGCCGAGCGGTGTGTGCGGGGGAGGAACCGGCAGGCGAGTCCCGGGAAAGTTCAACGTCACCGGGACCGGTGCTCCCGCCACACAGGACGGGACGGGGGGCAGCCTGGGCCGCTGTGCGCGGGTCAACGTCCGTCCGTCCGTCCATCTGTCCGTGTGCTCAGAAGCTGCTGTTGGTCAAACTTCACCGTTAACTCTTTACAGGCAGCTCCGGGCAAAGCGGGACCGAAATGCTACCCGGATGAGGCATTTCCCTCCTTTTCCCTGACGAGGGGCAAAGAGAAATGCGTGGCTTTGGGGACAGCGCCCTGCCTTCAAGGCGACGGTGACCGTGTTCGAACGGCAAAGGCACCGCGCGTGCAGGAGGAGCGGCCGGCTCAGACGGGAGGGCTCGGCGCCGGCGAGGCCGGTTACGATCGGGAGCATGAGAACCAGGAGGCCTGTCCGTCCCCCAGGAGCCGAGGACGGAGCGAAGACAGAGACAGCAGCTCCCACGTGTGTTTTCAGGAAAAGCCACTCTGAGGGCGGTGACGCCCGGGCACTGATGACATGTTCTCCCTCGGGGAGGACGTCCTGGCCTCCGTGGGCGGCCCAGACCCGGCCCCTCGGAGACTGTCCCGGGGAAGCAGGGGGCAGGGAGGGCCGCCTGGCTGCCTCCAGACCCGACGCTGGATTTCAGGACATGTGCGTGTGTGCGTGTGTGTATTTGTGTGTGTGTGTGCGTGTGTGCACTTGGCTTAAAAAGCAGCCCCTGTCCCTCCTCCTCTGCCCTCCGCCGCTCCGCGTTAAGCCCGTGTAAGCCCAGCGCAGGTGGGGCGGACTGGCCGAAGAGCGCCCGCACCTGACCAGCATCGGACCCTGTTCCTCTCTGCCTCCTCTTTCCCACGGCGTCTCCCCAGGCGCCACAGGAGGCCCGGGGAGCGCTGAGTCAGGCGGAGGGCCTTCCGGCCGCGCTGCTGGGTCATCATCTGCGCTGGGTGCCCCCCCCCCCCAGCTCTTGGGCTGGCAGCTCTCCCGGCTCCCGGCCTGTGGCTGCTCTAACCGGGGTGAAAAGGGGGTGAAAACAGGAACCCAGCCGCCCTCCCCCCACCCCCACCCCGTGCCGTCCTCCTGTCCGCGGAGTTTGGGAACAAAACAGCGAACACCGCTGCCTCCCACCACGGTTCAGTGTCCGCGCCGTCCTCAGGGCTAGTCGCGGCTCTCATTGCCCAGAAGCCCGCGGGGAAGCGTTCTCGCGCTGGGGGTGAGGAGCCGCGGCGGGCGGGAGCCAGACAGACCCTCTCCGTGTGTTTCCGGCGGTGAGTATGGCCGTTTGGAGACTGCTGACTCCATCGTACAGTCGGCCTCAACTTCCACTAAACAACGACAAAGTGTTGTGTAACTCACACAAAACGCTCAGCCAGTGAGACTGACACAGCCTTCCTGTCCTTACATGTCCGCTCGCTTCCCTCTTGTTTTGGGGGTAAAGAATCTAAAGGCAGCTTTTACTTTGGGATTCTGTAACAACGGGCAGATGCCGGAGGCTCGGGACTGCAGTTCGCCGAGGGGGGAGCGGGGGGGAGGGGGAGGGAGGGAGACGGCCCATCCCCCCTCCCTCCCCGCCGTCAGCTGCCGCGGCCGGGCGGCCAGGGCTATATATAGGCCGCGGCGGCTCCTGTTCGCTCGCTGGCGTGTCAGTGCCAGGACCCGGCTGCTCGTCGTAAATGATTCAGAGGCGTGCGAGGCGGTCCTCTCGGCCGCCGGCCGGCTCGGCTCCTCCACACCAGCCGGGAAGCCGAGCGTGTTCCCCGCCACCTTTCGCTGTCAGACATGGTTCGGTGTTCCCTGTGTGAGCTCGCAGCCTGTCTTCTGTTAGTCCTAACGTCACCATTTCCAGCTTATGATACGGTTTCTTAGATCCGAAAAGGAAGACTATTGTTTCGTTGGTTTTTAGAGGGATATGAGGGAGAGAGGGAGGGAGGGAGGGAGAGAAGCAGAGAGGGAGAGAGAGAGAAAGAGAAAAACATCAATGGGAGAGGGAGGGAGAGAGAAAGAGAAAAACACCAATGGAAGAGAGAGAGAAAGAGAAATAAGAGGGAGAGAGAGAGAAATATCAATGGGAGGGGGGGGGGGAGAGAGAAAAAAACACCAATGGAAGAGAGAAAGAGAAATAGAGAGAGAGAGAAAAAAAATACATCAATGGGAGAAGGGGGGGAGAAATAGAGGGAGAGAGAAAAACATCAATGGGAGAGAGAAATGCTGGTGGGTGGCCTCCCCCAGGCACCCCAACCAGGGGTCAAACCTGCAACCTGAGCGCGTGCCCGACTGGGAATCGAACCGGCGACCTTGTGGGTGCCCGGGCGATGCTCAGCCGAGAGCCGCACCAGCCGGGGCTCAATGAAAGGCTTTGGGGGAGCATTTTCAGTCGTTTTATTTCCCGAGGCTCGCTCCCTGGGAAGCCCGTGGCGTCCGTGAGCGTTACCTGGAGTTCCACTCGATCTTCTTGGCGGGCCCGAGGCGGCTGAAGCCGGGGCACACCTTCTCGGAGAGCCAGTGGCTGAGGAAGTGGAAGAGGAGCTGGAAGGCGCACAGGCTGGCAAGGAAGGCGCCCAGGACCAGCGTGGCGTCCTCGTCCATGGCTGCCGGCCGCGCCTGCGGGGGGAGAGGCGAGGGCTCAGTGCTCGCAGCGGCGCCCGGCGAACCAGTGAGCCTGTGGCCCTCAGCGCAAGGGGCTGCGTCTGAGCGCCTGGAGGGGTCAGAGGAGCGGTGAGGATTTGAAGTCCTTCCCCACGATCGGGCATGGGGGCTTGTCTCTGAATTGGAAATAAAAGCAGGAAGCCCGTATCTCAGAGACCTCAACGTTTCTCCTGCGACCGTCCCGCGGTAACCCGGGGGCACACACACACAGCCGCGTCTCGGCGTTCACGACGAGAAGGGAGTTTCACCTGCTGTCGCTCAGGGATTCTTTCCGTGACGCTTTCACCTGACTTCCCTCTGCCTCACGCTTCCCTCGTTTATTAGGTGAGAGTTGGTTAGATAATTTCTAAAGAAGCCATTAAACCAAAAAAAAAAAAAAAAAAAAATCACACCAGAAACAAACAAACAACAAGGCCTGCCATCGCACCCATCCCTGGACAGAAAGGCTCTTCCTCTCTGAAACACAGCGCTTTTCACAGAAGCGCGTCAGCCTCTGAGGGTCGAGTTGGTGAAAAGAACATCGGGATCACTTTCAGAGCACGTTTTCTGTCTCGCTGAGCTCAACTATTTTGGCTCCTAAAACTCTTAGGGACATTTAGACCAAAAAAGAGGAGACGGAAGGATCTGCTCCGTCCACAGACCAGCCTTCCTGCAGCCCCTTCCCTCCTCCCCCCCCACCCTCGCCTCTTCCCCATGAAAAGAAAATGAATCAACAGGAGCCAACTCAGCCTCGCCTCGTCCCCTTCCAACCAGGGCGTCCCTCCCTCGTCCTAATGGATTCCCCCCTCCCCCTCCTCCTTCCCCCCTCCCCTCCCCCTCCTCCCCTCCCCCTCCCCCTCCTTCTCCCCCTCCTCCCCCTCCTCCTCCCCCTCCTCCTCCTTGCTCTAGTGTATGCTCAGCAGAAACCCTGGCGCTACAGTCCTCCGGGGAGACACGGCCGGCCTGCCCGTTTACCTTCTAAAATTGTGTCTGTTGTGTGTTGGGTTTAATCGGTGGCCTGAGTTGACTACTAACCGAATGACACAGCAGCAGGCTTTGTGGCTGCATTACACACCGCCAAGGTTTTCTCGGCGGGCGGTGTTTCCCTGAGATGCACGCCCGCAGGGGCCCGTGGGCCGGCGAGGGCAGACGGCGGCCGGGAAGCCGGAGAGAGGCCCCGAGGAGCTGCCTGGGAGCCGATGGGTAACCAACACCCGGGGCAGGGGGAGGCTTCTTCCCTACAGCCCAGCGTGGCGACGGGCACTCCTCCGCGCACGGCGGCCGGAACCAGGCGACACCGCCGCTCCGCGAGCTGTGCGGCCCACTGGCCCGTTTCTACAAACACACCAGGCCCAGGCCCGTCCTCCCCGGAAGCTGGCTTTGGGGGTGTCCCACGGACCCTGGAGTTCCCTGCAGACACTGGGTTCACTGGGGGCGGGGAGGGCGGGCGTCGAGTCCCTTTGCAAACGGGCTTCCTGGAAAGCACGTGCCGCTGCCCCCGAAGGCACAGACAGCGTCAGTGCAGCCCCCCCTTCCGGCTCTGCTCTGAGCACTGGCCCGGGGCGTCACCCGTTTCCCGGGAGGAAGCCACTGCCCTGTCTGTTCACCGAGTCAGGCAAGAAGCCCCGACAGTCTGCAATAGGACGTCACGCGAGGCGGGGAGGATTCTGGGCCAGGTGGGCCTGAAGGGCCTTCCGCACCTGCCACCCACTCCCTGGGGCGCCGCCCGGGGGCCGCCAGCTGCCCGGTCTCCCGGCGGACGGAGGCCGCGCGGCCCAGCTGACGGGTGGCACTGCCAGCTCCCGGCGCTGCTGACAGGCCGTCGGGACCATCCGGCCAGCTGACCCTCCAGCTGGAGGCGGCTCCAGGGAGCCCGCTGCCCACGGCGGCGGGAGGAAGAAGCGGGCATTGTCTGAGACACTGGGTTTGGGCGCTTTGTTATTGAGCAAGAGATCAAAACAGCAGCAGCAGCCGAGGACAGCGCGGCTCTCGCCCCCTTTCCTCGCCCAGAGCGCGCGGCGCTGGGTGCCCTCGCGTGTGGTGTTGGCTGGAGCCTGGTGCCTCAGCGCGGGGCGGGCTCTGCAGGGCCTGCGCGTGGCCTCAGACGGAGCGGCGTGGGTGGGCCGGGGTCGCGTTCCCGAGGCGAGATGCCGACGAGTGTGCTCGTGGGCGCCGGACCCCACACGGCCCAGCTCCCCAGCTTCCGGACAGTGGGGCGGGCTGCCCACTGGAAGCGCCACGTCCTGCTCACCCACCACCTCCAGCACCTCCGGCACTCCTCCGAGGGGCGCTCCCGCCTTCCACCTGGGGACCCACCGTGCAGCCCAGCCCCTGCTCTCTGCATGGACCAAGGGCGAGGGCTTTCTGGATTCGTTTTCCTTTATTTAAAAAAAAAATAATATTTATTTTTGTTATTGATTTCAGAGAAGAAGGGAGAGGGAGAGAGAGAGAAACATCCATGATGAGAGAGGCACATCCTAGATCAGCTGCCTCCTACACGCCCCCTACTGGGGATGGAGCCCACAACCCGGGCCTGTGCCCTGACCTCCTGGTTCCTAGGTGGACGCTCGGCCACTGAGCCAGGCCGGCCGGCGGGCTGTCTGTCTTTAAAGGACAATATCCTGTCGTGGTTATAGCTCTAACACAGCGCCGCCCCTAAAGCACCCCCACGCCCGGGCGGGGGCGCTGAGAGCCCGAGAGGCTCCGGGGCGGCCCCGGGCGCTGCTGTCATCGGTCAGGCGACCCGCTAGGTCCTTGTGAAGCTATTTCTGGATTAAACCCGTGAACTTGATCCTCGGCCCGGTGACCTTTCGCTGAGAGGCGGACACCTGGCCAGCGCCGGGAGCAGGTGGGAAGCAGCCGAGAAGCGGGGACAGGGTCCCCGGCGCGACCCGGGGTCGTGGGAACGCAGCCAAGCACAGGCAGGCCTTCTTCTCTTTAAACGTGTTCTTGTGGCTCCCAGAGGGAGGAGGGGGAGAGACACATCCGTGATGAGAGGGTTATGCATCAGCTGCCTCCTGCACGCCCCCCCACTGGGGACCAAGCCCACAACCCTGTGTCCTGACCGGGAACTGAACCCGGGATCCTTCAGTCCGCAGGCCGACGTTGAGGTCAAACCCAATGGGTAAACCCACTGATGTCCATTTACGTTCAGGGCGGCCAGAGCAGGACACAGTGGACACCACCCAGCCCGGCGACAAGGCCGGCGGGCACCACGCGTCCGGGGCTCAGAGCGACAGGAGCCGGGTAACCACGCGGCGCGGCGCCTGGCGCGTGCGCGTCCTCGCCTTCCTGCGGCGGCCTGGCCCACGGGGAGCGCGCTGCGTGGGAGGCGGCGGACGGCGGTAACGGGAACCCGAGCCTGCCGGGCTTCGGCCATTGATCCGGTGCAGCTGCAGATGCCGCCTCGCCCGTTTCTCCAAAAAGCTTTCTTGGCAGCCCGGAGCTGAGGAGTGACGTTCCAGTTGGACGTTCCAGTGTGTCCTGGGATGGAGCCTGAGGCAGTCTGATCGCCGCCCGCTCAGGAGCCGCGAGGGGACCCTTTTCCAGCTCCCTGAGCAAGCAGCCAGCTTCCCACGCGTCTGATCAGCAAAAAGCAGCACTCATTCTGCGTCAGCTTCTGCACAAACTCCCCGGGGGCGGGGCTGCCCCACCCTGCTCTGGGCCCCAGGCCGCCGGTGCACATCAGGGGCAGCAGCCTCGCTCAGGCCAGGGCACGGCTGCCCTCTGACCTGCTGCTCCGGGACCTGATGGGGGGAGGGCCGAGGCTGCCCTCTGACCTCTGCTCCGGGACCTGATGGGGGAGGGCTGAGGCTGCCCTTTGACCTGCTGCTCCGGGACCGGCTCTCCAGCCGGCAAGGTGCTCCTTGCACACGGTGCCTTGGCTTCGAAGAGGAGAGAACGGGTGGGAAGTCCCCTCCCCATCCGCCCGCCCAGCGGCCTTTCAGGACTGTGGGTCCTGCCCCCCAAACACAAGATGATACCCACCGACCGGTGCAGGCAGCTCCCCATCAACCGTGCTCGCCCACGCCCCCAGCCCCCTGCAGCCGGCTCCCCACAGCCCCCGCTTCCATGCCCCGGGCACGGCTTCGGAGACGGGCTGTGACCACCCAGAGCGGGATGCGTGCGGCCGGAGCAGGCGAGGCCCGGTGCCCTGTCCCTGCATCAAAACGCACCGGGCTGTGTTGTCGCCCCAAACCGAGGGCAGCGCAGTCCACCGGGCGCCTGCCCCCGGGTCCCCTGGGCACACCCTCCCCGAGCCAGGGCACCGACCCTTCCCAGCAGCTCCCAGGCCGGCCTCTCCCGGGGACTCACAGGCCTCGGCTCCGTAGCCCCTGCCTGCCCCCTGCACAGACCAGGGCTCTGAGGCCCTGCCAGGTCTGGGAACGGGGAGCACACCGCCTCTCAACCAAAGCCTCAGGCAGGACCGGCCTCCGTCCAGGACAAGCACAGCGAAGCTGCTCTGGAGACGCCCCTGACCTTACGAAACCCACTCCCTCGGGGATGGGACGCGGCCTGGGTGGCACCCTGGCTGGTGCCTGACGCCCGGGCTGGAAGACGCTCCCACCCTGGCGACCGGGTGACCTCCCCTCGTCCACGGCCCTGCCTCCTCGCGGGTGACAGGAAGGAGGGTCAGCACAGCCAGGCGGCCGTGCGCCCGCGGCCTCGCTCTCCAGGGCCAGCACGGCTGTCCAGCGCGCCCCCCTCCACCCCGCCCCGTCCTCCCTTGTCCAATCGCCACAGTCCCCCCAGACGACAGATTCATCCTCTCCCTCCTGGACACTTCGCTGACGCTCTGTCGGAGCGAAATGAATCCCGTCTGTGGGGGGGACAGTCATCTGAGAAGAAGGGGCGGAGACGCTGAGGTCTGAGGTTTCCTAGGGAGCCAGCTGCTGGGCTCCCGCCCCTCCAGGGGCGGCCGCTTGTGGGGGCGGGGGGACACTGGGCTCCTCTAGAGACTG